AGTTTATTCAATAATGTCCAGTATCCTGTTTAAAATCAAGCTCCAGTTTTACAAAGGCAGCCCATCCCATCTATTTTTTGTTGTTGTTTGTTTTTATATAGTTGCATGCTCTAGATGTGACATTTGTGTGGCAAGATTTTGAAATAATGTTTGTTAAACAATTTTCTAAATCTGTGTTTTATCCCAGGTACAATTGGCTTCTTCGCTTGCTTCTGGTTTGTAAATAAGATCTACAGTGTGGTCAAAGTGGACTAGAGGACGAGGGGAAGGAACGACTCCCTGCTGCCACAGTACTGGCCTCCTCTGTGCTGGCTATGCGATAAAGTGGTCTGATCGGACCTGAACTGAAAACATCATGTATCATAGAAACAAACCTGAACAGCAGAGCCCGTCCTCTTTTGTGCTTTAAACTTCTGTTGCTATTTTCTTTTTTAAAAATATATATAATTTTGTGTTCACTGTTGACCAGTAATATTTTGAATGGCGCCTTGAAAATCAGTGTGGGTTCCAATGGTCTAGTTGTCATAGTGAGCAGTTTGTTTGCTGGAATGTTTTTACTTTAATTTTCTAAAAAAGTAAAATGTTCTGTATTTTGCTTTTCTATTCCCTTATGGCTAAATGTTTTGTTTTTCATTACCTGTTCTGTAATGATGAAAAAAATGTGTGTACATATACTGTATAGAGAGAGAGAGAGAGAGCGAGAGAATGCTACTTAAAGATTGTCACCATAACAAAATCTTCCTTAGGAGTTTTACTCTTTTTTTCTTTTTTTTTTGTTTTCAAGGTAAAAATGGGGCTATAATTCCTTAAATATCAGCCTGTATTGTAGTTCAGAAATTATATAAAACACTGACATTGCTATGATACATGTCCATTTTCTTGAATTTAATGATTACATCTAAGGTTGCATAGAATCAGAGGGTACGCTTGTTTCAGAAGCACATGTGTATCATAGGACTATATGCTACAGCCACAGTGTGTCGCACATTAAGGATAGTCTCCCGATGACATGCCTGACTTGTTTGGCCACGTGAGGGAATGTCACTTAGTTAATTATTATGCAGTGAATGATTTTACTGATTTACGGTAAGTAAGACGCACCCTTGTAGACTTTAGTCGTTTGCTGAACTGTTAACTACATAAAACACTGCTGCCTTTTGCTTCAAGCAGTGCGGGGTCATCACCCAAGGTGATAACATTTTTACAAATAAATGCACTTAATTCAAAGCAAAGGCCACGTTTTTGTCTTTGAGCAACTAGGACGCATAATATTTTGTTCCCCATGACCAACCACATTCCTCACTTTGTCAGATTTTGAGGCCATAGAATTGAGAGTTCAACATATACGTTTGATTTGTCTTGACTGGACACAAACCAAAGGGAGCATAGTTGTGGAAGATGCTCTTTTAATGATGAGGATACAGTAATTGCAAGAATCCTCTGACACTGGACGATTACATTCTGACAGATGTAGTGTAGGGAAATATTCTAGACCGTATCTGTCTAAAATAATCCTTAGCCTTCTGCAAACCCAGATCATGCACTGACCTTTAAAGATGAGGAATGATTTTCTGAAGCACAGATTCTCAAAACCTTAAATTATAAAACTTTAGCTTTTGTTAAAGTGTGATTTTTTTCTTCATATTTTGCAGGCTTTTTAACCCTCCCTCAGCCAAACAATATATTTAAGATACAAGGGATAGAACATCTGCATCAATATACTCCTGTTAGAAACAAACATAATTGCAAAAATGTCAACTAAATAGTCCTCAAAACATTAGTTATGCAATTAGTTTCATGTGGGGGAAAAAAAAAAAAAGATTTTGCGTCAAACAAAAATAGATCAGTTTTTTTAATCCCAAGTACAATCCACACCACTACCTGAAAGCATCTTTAAAGACGTTTTAGATCTGCTATCATTTTGTTTTGAGTAAACATTGTTGGGGTTACATTTGTATGTGTCAAAGCATTTAGCAGTCCCAAATCTGGTCAGTCTTGTTCTGCTTGCCACTGTTGCCTAAAAATCCAATACTAATGCCATCCAAAACTGTTTTAATGAAGATACGTGCTAGATATATTGCAGCGAACACATCTAAGAGCTCTGAGAAACAGCAAACTGCTTCAAATCTTTCCCCTTGCACTCCCTTCGCTATGCTTTCTCAAAATATAGTCGCATTTGTGCTTCTTGCTTCGGATTCATCATGCACTATTTTAGTCTTGTCTCTTTTAATAGAACACAAACATCGAACTTGATAAAACATTTCATCATGAAGTTATGTATTGCGTTTCTGACTTTGGGTGTCATTTTTTATTTTTTTTAAAGAATATATTTCTGGGATGTAGACAGAACATAGGAGGAAATCTGTGTCCCACTACCTGCTCTGATGATGTGATACTTTTAAATTAGGATCTGTGTCAGACACAAGCACAATAACAAAATTGGCTGGAAAGGGTGCTTTTCCCCCAGGACCTAAATACACTGGTATTTTAATATATGTAAAAATATATGCACTCCTAGGGTCTTAGTGTGCTCCAGTTGGTATGATGTGAGTTTAAAGAGCTGTGTGGCCATGCTCTTTAAAAAAAAATTTCTCATGTCTGATATATATCTCATTTTTCCATTTTTTTATTCCCAGTTTTTGAAATGTATTCCTATGTTTGTGCCAAGAGCTGACACCACAGCCTCCATGTTTTTTTTCTTGTATCTAAAGTTACCCGTTTTGGTTATGAAGTCACACTTTTGCACACGTTACATATAATTTACTTTTATTAAACAACAGACAGTGTTTGATGTCGAGTAGTGATACCAGAAATAATACAAAAGCACAATAGAAATCACAAAAATATGTAGTTATAAAGGACTTTAAAACATTATTTTCTCTTATTTGCTGATATACTGTAACACACACTGTCCTTCACAGAGCCTCTGACAAACTTATTATGCAAGTTTGATTGTCAACTATAACACTGTAGTTTGGATTTGTCCAGTGACCTGTTGAATAAACCAACGTTCGAATCCACGACGGGTCCCAAAAACTATCACAGTCTAATAGCAATAATAATATTAACAACGATAAGAAGAAGAAGAAGAAGAAGAAGAGTACACCATGAGCACCCTGGCTTAGTCTGCCAAACGTTTTTTTTTTTTTTTTCTCCTTACCAAAAGTTATAAAAACAGACATAACACACTTTTCAAATAATCCACATAATGTTGTGATGCACCCATGATTTCCTTTCAACCTGCTGAATCGCCTCCCTCAGAGATGAGTCACAGCGAGCATACAATGCTTACATAAGTACGCATCCCCTCCGCGGCTGTAAGCAGACAGGTTAATCCAATATAAAATACTATATCAGGAGGTATCTTTACAAATCTACATGTGGCCAGTAGAATATATTAAATCTCTTACATAAGATCTTGCGGCATGCGGCCTACGTTAAATAGCTGGTGCAAAGAGTCCAATGGAGTTATATTTTTATCACACCCTGCTCTCTACGCACTGTGGCTCTCCAACAGAAATACTCTACTTGTCTCAAAGACAGGCTGACATTACAAAGGCAGCAAATACGGAGTCCAAATATACAGTGGCACACTGAAGTAGGAAGCAAAATCTCCACATCAGTTAAACTTTAGCTAAAGGAAACGAAGGACTAAGACAAATGTTTGTGTGTGTGTGTGTGTGGCCTCCCATCAGAGAACATGGGAGTCACCAACACTTGTGTGTTCAGTAAACGACAGGCACAATGAATCACTTTTCTACTTAGTTGTTCAAAAGGCGCTTTGACACTAAGAAGAGTTACTGCGACAGGAACAGAAACGTACATATATTCACTTACTCAACAAGATTCAAGAAACGGAGGTGGGCACTACAAATGTTTCTACAAGCAATACCCTGAGTTCATAAATGAAGCTTGCCTGCACACAAGGACGGAACATTTTGCCTCCTCCAGCAGGATCAAAGAGAACGTAACACACAGAAAGTTTAAAGGAGATTGAAGAGTTGTGCAGATAGGCCCGCTGCAGGTTAATACTCTTATCGGAGACATTTAAGGCCCATAATTAGACCAAAGTGGTCAGGACTGATATTTTCACTGTCGATTATTTTCTTGATTAGTCGACCAGTTGTTTACTCTGTCGAGTGTCAGGATATTGAGAAAATGTCCTCAAATGTCTTCTTTGGTCTACCACCCAAATATATTCAATTAACCATCGTAGAGGAGTAAATAAATCACAAAATATTCCATTTTTTCCCTCAAAAAATTGCTCACATTATTATCAAAAAAGCTAGGCATTCATGTAATACTTGATCAATCGTTGCAGCTCTAGTCAGAACATCACAGCAGTTTCTGCCATGACATGGCAAGTCCAGGTTTAGGCTGATTGAATAACATTTTGATTTTTAATAACAGTAGCACAATGTTGAATATATTTAAAATATATGCACACAGTCCGACTCATGTGGCCCATGTAGTAAATCTTAGAACTGCTTTTACATTTAACAAACACGTGGCCACAGCCAGTTCTTTTGCACATTCATAATGCAGCAATGACATGTGATGTAACATCAATCTTTTATCTTATGAAAAACTATGAAAAGATCTCAATGAAGAGTTAATTTGCAAAAACAGGTAACAGGTTCACAAAACTTCAGAAAACCCACTTTTCCATCGTCTACTGAGACAATATCAATCAAACTTCAATTATCTCTGTCTTTGTCACGTCATTTCTACTGAGTCAAATACACTCAACTTCAGTTTGATTGATATTATCTTAAGCAAACAACAAAATAAGAAAATCTAAAAAAAAATAAAATGAAATTGAGTTATCTGTTTTTGCAGATGAACTCTTCAAATGTTCATGATCAGGCTCCACTGTTCCTGATGCCAGCAAATAGAGAATTACCAATCCTGTTGTCTAGACCTTATGCATGAACACAACGCGTGACAAACTCTTCAAGTAAAAACAAACATGGTCCGTCCAATGAATGCTGGAGGGCGGCTTATGAGCTTTGCTTGCTGTGGACCGTGAGCTCCCTCTCGGAGCTGACGCTGGTGGAGGTGGTTTCTTTGCGGCTGTCCCTCGACTTCCTCTCGAAAGTGGGAGAAGAGGACGTCGTGCACTCTTCCCAGGTCCGCAGAGGGAAGACTCGAGCAGCCAGGCTGGGCAGGTGATGGGGAGCACCGGAGCGGCCCTCGGTCGTGGTGAAACAGCTCTCCACTGCGGAGCTCTGGTTGGGGCGGCCCTGCTTGCAGAAGAGCCCGCAGAGTAAAGCCAGGAACTCCTTCCTCACGCTACGGTGCATGTAGCCGTAAATGTAGGGGTGGAGGCAGCACTGTAGAAAGAAGAGCACCAGGGCAAGGGAGGATAACCATAGGGGTACAGCTGCTCTGGTGCTCATAGATATCGTGTTGAGGATGCTGTAAGGGCCCATGCTGAAGATATATGAAGCCATGATCACAAAAACTACCCGAGCTGCCTTGCACTGGTAGTGGAAACGTCTGTGTCTGACTCGGACGGGGTACCGTCTGGCTGAGTAGGGGCCTTCAGGTGAGCTGGCCTGCTGGGGTTGGGGCTGCCGCTGCGGACTCCCGGGTGCCTGGAAGTCCTGTGGGCAGGGCTGGGAGTAAGATTGCGTCTGTATTGGGTGCACCAGAGCGTTCTGCCTCCGTGCTGCTCTGAACACCATCCAGTAGCATCCGAGCATGATGAGCACAGGCAGCCAGAAGGAAAAGGTGGACACCACAGCGGAGTAGGACAGGCTGGAGGACCACACCACTGAGCAGACATTGTGGCGACGGTCAAAGTCAATGGCCCCCCAGCCATACAGGGGAGGTGTGCTCTGCAGGAAGCTGAGCACCCACGTACAGATGATCAGGTTGGTGCCCAGGTGAGGGGTCATGCGGGTGGGGTAAGACAGAGGGTGGATGATGGCCAGGTAACGATCCACAGACACAACTATAATGGTGTTGACCCCAGCGAAGGCGAAGAGGTGCATGAGCACCACCAGGGCCTGGCACAGTCGGGCATCCAGGGGCCACACACCCGGCACGGTGGCCGCGATGGCAAAGGGCATAACCAGCACGGTCTGGAGAAGGTCGGCCAGGAGGAGGTTGAGGACGAAGCGGTTGGCTACGTGAAGGAGCTGAGGCTTCCTCTGGAACACCAGCAGGACAACCACGTTCCCAAACAAGGACACGCACACAATCAGAGAGATGAGCACCATCTTCACCACGCTGTTCACTGTGGAGGACCACACCGGGTCCCGACCGGAGGCGGTGACGCCAGTGAGATTTGTGCCCATACTGGGCTCCTGAGAACTTGACATGGTTCATCTGACATCCAGCAGGTCAGGTTAGCTGTATCCTGGTGAGGAAAGACAACCAGCTCTGGTGGGGTTTTTTTTCCTTTTAGGTGTACTACTGGTAGCTGGCGTTCCTTATTTTTTTCAGTGGATTTCAGGTGCAAAATTCAACATGCATCTCACATTGCATTTCATCTGACATGACACATGATCCATAACAGGTGAAAATAGTCCAGGAGACTCATCCACGAGGAGATGGAGACTGTGAACACTGATTCGCTGCCCATGATCACTGATTATTATTCCTTCACCCACCGAACAGGCCTTATTCTTCTTCTCGCAGCCCACATCTGCCGAATGGGAAAAAAAAAAAAAAAAAAAAAAAAAAAAAAAAAAGGAATTTGACGACAGCAAAATGCCAGCATCCACAGAGAGAGAGAGCATCCAGACGACGGCGAATATCGCTAATCTGTATACACTGATGGATGATACCTGGGAGTGATCAGTGAAGCTATGTTTTGCGGCTCGCTTTCCATCGCTTTGCTCCCATTTCAGCCCTCGGCTCCAGTCAATGGCAGCGAGCTTTCACGGCTCAGCTAACATACGCTGCGTGTCTTCACCCAGCGGGGGTCTCTCATCCAGACGAGCGTATCTTTCCGTTGCTGCTCTTTTCGGATTTCATGGCAGATCAAACATTTATTTTTTCATCAGCTCCCCGATTCCTCCTCAGCAAAAGTATTAGGCTACTTACGGTCGAGTCCTGTCTCCGAGGTGTCAGGGAGAAGAAAAAAAAAAAAAAAAAAAAAAACAAGGACACCTGCACTGACATCTCTTCTCCCCCGCTGGAGCCTGTCACAGACCCCCGCCCGCCTTTTTTCTTTTTTTTCTTTTTTTTGTAATAAATGTACAAGTGCGTTTCACCATCCCATCCTGTGTATCACTTTTCATACATTAAAAACGATATTTTATTTATTCTGTTACATCTGTCATTTTATTGATTGTTTTTTTTAGATTTTTTTTTAAAGCAACAAAGACCATACCATCAGTATGAGGGCTGAACATTAAAAATACATGATTTTATTTATTTATCATTAGAAAAATCTGCTAACCAGAGGCGTCTTTAATTTGCAGCCTGGTTTCCCCATTTAACCACAGTTACCCGGATCTCAGTCAGTCTGGCAGATCTCCTTGGTAACAAGTGATTCAATCTGCTGCTGGCTGCTTATGTGATCTTCACATAATAGTATGTCTGTCAGAGAACAAAACAGCTGATTGCTTATATGCAGCAATTTATTTTTAGATTATTTTTTTTCGAGATGTACTACTCTATATGAAGGGCTACTTGTTAATCTGTAAAAAATAATAAATAAATACATGTGGAATAGAACTGATGAACCAGCTGTGCTCAGTTTATTTTGGTAGATTTCACCCAGTGTTTTGAGTCATGAATTTCCCAGCTTTGACACATTAAGAGAAACTAACCCTACATGATATATCACCCAAATATTTCAGCCTCTTTCATGCTGTTATTCAGATTGCATTTCTTTCGCTGTTACAGAACACTAAGATGTACTGCTGTATAATAAAGGATGCTTGATACACTGTTAAAACAAAAAAAGTACAGAATCTGCTCAATTTGCACTCAATTCATTTGGGTAGATATCACCCCATATTTAAAGAGTGCCCAAATTTCACAGCTTCTACCTGCTAAAAAACATCTCAGGTGAAGTCTGCATGATGCATCACACAAATATTTCAGCTGCTGGATGCAGATTTGCTCTTTTATTGCACTTCTTTGGTGATTTCACTAAGATGTACTACTGTATACTAAGGACTACTTGTTGCACTGTAAAAACAAACCTATAGAATCTGTTTAATTGAACTAATGAAACAATTTGTGTGAATACATGTGAGCAGATTGCACCTTGCATTCTCAGTAAGGACTACCTAGATGTAACAGCAAAGAAACTAAATGAAGTCAATGTGATACATGACACAAATAGTTCAGCCCCATTTTATGGTGTTTGCTATTTTTTTCAAGTTTCTTTTGGTGATATCCTAGTACTAAGATGTACTGCGGTATATTAAGGGTTACGCGTCACATTGTAAAAGCAAAACGATAGAATATGCTCAACGGAATTGATGAAGCAAATTGCAATCAGTTTATTCAAGTTGATTTTAGAATATCGACATTTAGCTGCTTTAACACCCTAAAAATATGTGGTTCAGTTTCCATGATACATACCACGACTAATCCAGCCTCTTTCAGACATGCACTCCTTTCTGTTAATCACATGACATCTAAACTTGAGGCTTCATGTCTGAATCCAAATAAGCACCCTGGTGACTTTTTCACAGTCTTACTAAGTTGGACCTTGTAACATTTCTATATCGCTCTCAAAAAGTCTGAACCACATCACATTATTGGATAGGCATGGGAAAGTGAGTTGTTTGAGGTGATTTGTTTCAGGCTTTTTCCAAATTTAAGCACCAATCATAGACATCACAGAGAGCGCAAAAGTCACAGCTTGCTGCCAAAATCACAAAACACCTTTCATGTTAAGTGATCAAATGTCCAAATGTCACAGTGCCGTCACTTTAACAGACTGATGAAACCGGCAATGTTGCACATCCTGTATGTCTGAAAGGGGGCTTTACTTATTAAAAGTAAATAGTAGGGACATGCTCCTAGTCATATCCAATGACTACAGCATTGTCCCAAGCAACACTTTTGATAGTACAATCAAATATTGTTGCGAGTGGTGACTCAATATTGATAGAAATCAGCAAGACAGCTTGTGTTTTCCTTCACAGTTCTTTATTTAACAGCACACAGTGAATCATTTCGAACACACCTATCTGCACCAACGCATCATCAACACAGCAACCCGCTGCACTCGTGGTACCACAGCTTCTCTCATCTAACATGAAGGTGAATGAAACACAGCACGAGTAACTGAGCTGTAAACATAATGGAACACAGTAGACAACTGAGTGTAATAGACCATATGCAACAGTGTAGATAGCTTCAATCATTTTGCAACTACAAATCAGGAACTTTGCTGACATGCCCACTCAGGTCACTGCAATATTCAACTGTTCATCCATTTAATTATTGTGAGTAATTAATGAGTATGACTAATGTGACATTACTTATTTGGGGAAGGTTACCTTTACATGAAAAGTTGTTGTCAGACAAAGGAGATGATGATGATCATGTAAAAATCTTGGGTTATATTTTGTTTTTTTTTTAAATATTGCAGTTCTTATTTTTAACAAATAGTTCAAATCTAGGGCTGCGAGGTAGCTCGGTGGGTAGCACCGTTGCAAGAAGGTCGCCGGTTTGCACCCCTGTGAGGGCACCAGGGATCTTTCTGTGTGGAGTTTGCATCTTCTCCACGTGCAGTGTGGGTTCTCTCCGGGTTCTCCAGCTTCCTCCCACCTCACAGTCCAAAAACATGTTGATGTTAATTGGTGATTCTAAATTGTCCGTAGGTGTGAATGTCAGTGTGCTTGGTTGTCTGTCTCTAAGTGTAGCCCTGTGATAGACTGGTGACCTGTCCAGGGTGTCCCCTGCCTTCACCCTAAATCGGCTGGGATAGACTCCAGCCCCTCCATGACCCTAGTGAGGATTAAGCGATGTATAGATAATGGATGGATGGATGGATGGATGGAATGGGGTACATTTATCACCCTCTGAAATCCGTTTTTTTTTTGTTTTGTTTTGTTTTACAGCTTCCAATCATATCACATCTTCATGAGCAGATGTAATTTACCCAGCGGTCATGGATTTGTACATTTCTCTTTCTCATGACCCTTGACCTCTTGCCCACGTTGGTTTAAATACTGAGCCCCAGAGTTCATTCTTGGCTTATGAAACAACATTCAATCAAACAACCTTATTAGTCAGATCCAGTACAGTAGAGCACTATTTTCACACTCATTTCTTCTCTCTTTCTTTTAGCAATGGCATCATATTAATTCTGCATGTGTTTTGCAGTTCTGTCTGATCTACACCACATTTGCTACATCAAACATAAAGGAGGTGTGCACGGGCTCCTACTCATTTGCAGATAAGCGAGCAAATAACAAACATCGTATGGATACCTTGGCATAGTTTATTCATCAAATGAGCAATTAGTTTTAACTTCAAAACCTTAATTTACAGAGGAAAAATGAACTGAACTATATTTAGATGTGTGGGTGAAAACTTAAGCTGAAAACTTAACCTCAATTCAGCCTCAATGCAACACTGACTAACCACTGAAACACAACCCCGCTGTAGCAACTGAATGGAAATGTAATTACATGAAACTTCTGATGGCTCTTTTAACATAAAAAGCGTTCTCACTGTAGCCCAGTTTTGATCAAATAACCAAACCTTAGATTTGCAGGCTCCTCTATGATTCTTTGTGTGATATGGACATTTGTATAAGCCACCTTTTTGTTTAGTTTTTATACTGAAAACAAAAATTGCTTTTTACATTTCAGCCTTTGTAGAAAAAAAAAAAGACTTCATTAAAATGCACAGAAAACAAAAGCAGTACTACATTGTGCAATCCAATTAGTCTGTAGCTTACACGGCCTACTAATCAACACTCGTAATTAGCCATTTTATTCCAAGTCTTTGCTCTATCCCAGCTATCAAAAAGCCCTTTGATGTAACTCTCGATCACCCTGTGTTTTAGATTTAGATTGCAAATGAAATGCCGGTGACCGCAAAGGGGTGGGGAGATGTTCCCCTGTTTCTTATGCTGAATGGACTGTGGTTCAAAGGGAGACCCACAGGCCTGCTGCCTCACGGGACTATTAGATTTGCATGCTCGCGGTGACCCCAAGTACTCTCCGGCTCCGTCATTCAGCCTCCCTCTCATTCACTGTCGCCCACTGACACCTATGAGCTGACAAAACTGAACACACAAGTGAGGACGAGCACTGCAGACTGTATTTGTACAGCATCACATGAACTCTTTTTCTTCTTTTGTAGATACAGATGTATAATAATCAGTATTGTCGGAGTGTTG